AGTTTAATGAACTTGTCCAGTGGAAATAGAAAAGAGAGTCTTGTTGATCTAATAAGTGTAGCAATGTGACGATACATCAGTATAAGGACAACCACTGGAGTGAAGTTGAGACAAGCACCAGCTCCTCGTGCTATTGATATTAGAAACACTGAGAGAAAAAAATATATATAAATATATAAATACTGGTATTATACACGTAAATATACATGTACATGTATGTGTAAAGCATCTTTAATTATTATTATTATTATTATTATTATTATTATTATTATTATTATTATTATTATTATTATTATAATTTACTTGATTCCCTGTATCTGATTGCTGCCTCCACAAACAGAACAATATTAATCATAAAGAACACAGATAAGAAGATGAAATACGACAAATCATTTCTGATGCGATTCCATGACAACCAAAAAGGCCAAAATCTCTCGGAAAGTTTCTTATTTTGACTAAATTTTTGAGGCTTAAGCCAATTAGAAGCACTAGAAATATCATTAATAAATTTATTTTACTTAGTTTATTTATTTATTTATTGGTTTGTTTGTTTATTTACCTGATTGTTAAGTTGTCAATAATGTCTGGATATTTATCAAAAACATTCTTCAGTTCTTCAAAAGAAATGCTCCCATTTTTATCAGCATCAGCAAAATCAAACAGAGCACTGAAAATAATAAATAAATGTACATGTACATGTTGGTGTGGTAGGATAATAATAATAATAATTACTTTGTTAGTGTGTCTAAATTCTCTTCATTAATTCTCAGTGAACTTTCACTGGTACATGATCTGAGGATAATCTTTAATTCATCATAATCAATACTACCATCACCTAGTAAACAATAATAATAATAATAATAATTGTACAGACTAGCCTCTATATAATGGACACTTTGAAGGTGTCTCTGTTATACAGAGGTGTCCTTTATGCGGAGGTTATTTTATACAGTAAGGAATGTAATTGGTACACTAGGTGCTGTCCGTTAAATGGAGGTGTACGCTATAGAGAGTGTCCATTAAGAGAGACTATACATGTACATTAGTATGTACAGATAACTTACCATCAACATCATAAACTTGAAATAAAAACCTGAAATGAAAAAGAAACTTGAGTTTATCCAGTTGTGTCCCACTCATCAATAAAGTGACTCCATTAATCATCTCATTGAGGCTAATGGACCCATTCCCATCTTTATCAAATATTGAAAAGAAACGACTAGCAAAGAATGAAGACTAGAAAATATAAAATAGTTTTGGAGTAACTTATAAAAATTCGTAAAAAATCCAATTTTGATCGGAAGCAGCTCAAACTTTCTACACAACATAAGTACATGTATATGCATCAGGAAATGTAATAAAAACAAAGAATTCTCTACTTTTCATTTTTGGCAAAATTTGGCTGTGACCCTGTACTATAGTACAGGGACTTTTATTCGATTTTGGAGTAACGTTAAAAATTCATTAAAAAATCCAATTTTGATCGAAATCAGCTTAAACTTTCTACACAACATAAGTACATGTATATGCATCAGGAAATGCAGTTACTTGTGATAAATGAAGTGCCTTTCTGAATCCTTCAAAGTCAATCTGTCGATCGTCTCCAGCAATAGAAATAAACTGAGTCTCAAACCACAGCAACCAGTTAGCATCTTTATCAACACTATAATACCATATAGTGGAAAATTTTCGTGGCCCAAAATTTTCGCTGATTTCGCGTTTTTTTCAAAATCCGCGAAAATTGATTTTATACAGTTTAAGATGGCCGAATTGTAGAAAACCACGAAAATTAAAGCCACGAAATTGATTTTTGGACGGATCCACAAAAATTTTGGACCACGAAAATTTTCCACTATACGGTAAACAACATTATTGTTATTATTGTTATTATTATTATTATTATTATTATTATTATTATTATTATTATTATTATTATTATTATTATACGTATGAATGTCACAATTAAATTATATCGCTAGTAATTACTGATGATCAAATAACGTTCACTTACTACCAAATAAGAAAAGAATCCAATCACTGACATCCACTGTAACA